GGCACTCTACCCAGGGGGACAGCTTGAGGCTCTGTCTCAAAAAAAAGAATTTGTTGTCCCAATGAACTTCAGATTTAAGACAGGAACTCCAGGATGTTACTGAAGTGTCAGGTTTCAAAGGCTGAACATATAGGGTCTCTAACCCTGATATGGAAACCCATGGTGGAGGTAAAGAGTAAGGCCCACGTTCGAGGTGCATATAAGTAAACTGGGTGTATGTGTGTCCAAAGGGCAATTAGATATATGGGATTGGAGCTCCAGCAAGAAATGTGAGTTAGTGAAAGATTTACAAGTTGTATCAGGGTAAGGATTGAAGTCACCCTGGGAGAACAGGGAAAGTGATGAGAAGACATAAAAACTTTTTTTTTTTTTTTTGAGACAGAGTCTTACTTGTTGCCCTTGTAGACAGCTGTGGCGTCACAGCTCACAGCAACCTCAAACTCTTGAGCTCAAGTATTCTCTTGTCTTAGCCTCCCAAGAAGCTGGGACTACAGGCGCCCACCACAATGCCTGACTATTTTTAGAGATGGGGGCCTCACTCTTGCTCAGGCTGGTCTTGAACTCCTGAGCTCAGGCAATCCACCCATCCTGGCCTCCCAGAGTGCTAGTATTAATTACAGCTGTGAGCCACCATGCCTGGCCACTTTTAAATTATTTAAAAGAGTCTCATTTTGTCACCCATAGTAGAGTGCCACGGTGTCATAGCTCACAGCAACCTCAAACTCTTGGGCTCAAGAGATTCTCTTGCCTCAGCCTCTCTAGTAACTGGGACTATGGGGGCCCACCATAACGCCTATTTTTAGAGACGAGGTCTCGCTCTGGCTCAGGCTGGTCTTGAACTCCTGAGCTGAAGCAATCCACCTGCCTCGGCCTCCCCGAGCTCACTTTTTTTTTTTAAGTTTATTTTTTCTACCGGGGTTTGTGTAAGCACAAAACCCCAGCATTTAGATGGTGGTCAGGGAAGAAGCCAGCAGGATAGATAAAGCATGATTAGAGTAGAACCACAAGACAATGGTGCCTCAAGCCAGGAAAGAAGAGTTGTGAGGACTGGGAAATTGCCCAAAGCAACAAATGCTGCAGAATAATCAAATACATTAACTGAAAATGGGCCTTTGGATGTGGCAGTTAACTAAGAAGTCACTAGTGACCACAAGGAAGGCCACTTTAGTTGGGATTTATTTTATTTTAAAAATATGGAACGCTTTACAAATTTGTGTGTCATCTTTGCACAGGGCCCATGCTAATTTCCTCTGTATAGTCCCAATTTTAGTATATGTGCTGCTGAAGCATGCACCAGATTTAGTTTAGATTTTAATGACTTGAGTGAATGTGCTTTTAGGTCGTGAAAACATTGCGTACAGACCAGAGGTCATAAACCAATGCCAAGAAACTTGTTCAGGTAACATCTCCATCACTTCTTTTTCCACTATCTGTCAATCACTTGGCTCAGCTTCCTGGTATAGGAATTTAAGTTGTTTAATGTTATGTGAAAGGAACGTAGGAAAAGCATGTGATAGGGCAATTGAATGAAGCAGAAAGAGAGTCGAGATGACTCTTGTTTCTTCTGGGGGGAGTAGGAAGGAGGTGAATAAGAGAGTGTGTGTGTACTTTTGTGTGTGTGTGTGTCCTTGGTGCCCAGTGGAACAAAGTTAAAGGTGTTTGCTCCTGTCAAAAGACTTCTATGCTCTATACTGGAGGCAAAACTCTTTTCTTTCCTTTTAATTTTGGTTCAAATTAATATAAGGGTACAATTTTTAGGTTACATTGTTCTCACTTCCAGGGTAAAGATCCATTTGTAGAAAAGCTGCTCACAAGGCAAAATTCGTGAGGGAAAAATTACCAATATCTGTACAAAAAAGACAGATGAAGCAAAATGTCTGGGTTGCTGGGGTTTCCTGGTTTTTCATCATGCCTCCTAGGACTTCAACTGAATAGGAACCTTGAAGTGCTTAAGGCTGTGTTTCCTATTTTTTTTTCTTTTGAGACAGAGTCTCATTTTGTC